ACCCTGAATTCAGACTTCTAGCTTCCTAAACAGTGAGAAAAAAAATTATTTTTTGTGAAAGCCCCCCAATTGTGGTGTTTCTGTTGTAAACAGCACTAGATAGCTAAAATATTCCTTTATTGTTAAACGTTGTACACATTGTGCCTTTAGTGACTTGTGCATTTTCTTTTTTGGGGAGTAAAGAACAACTGCGATCCACTTATTTAAATGATGCTTCTTTGTTTTGACCTACTGAGTGGTATGTGTATGTAATGAAACAAGTTCGGTAACTTCAGTTGAAGTTTCCCTTTAGCTAAGTTTTCCTGTGTACTTGAAGGCCATAACTTCTACAGTGCTAAATGATCAGAGATTAAAATTAAGACAGATTTGTCAAATTAACTTGTAAAAAGAGTGTTCTGTTTAGCGTTGATTTATAGATGTTATTTATTACATTTTGTAAACAGTATTGACTATGTATCACTTATTTTCCAGCTTTTCATAAATTATTTCAGATACATATATGTATTGTATATTAAATGTATTATGTTAAACAAAATATGTCATTAAAGCGAATTTCACTTGTTTCTTTTTACTTTTTTTAATGTTGCTACTAGAATATTTAAAGTTTCCTATGTGGCTCACATTGTGTTCCTATGGATTGCACTAGTATAAAATACTCCTATTAAAAGACAAGATTTTTAGTCTGCATTAAAAATAGAAAGCCTAGCCATATGCTGCTTCCAGAAGACATACCTTAAATATAAGGACAAAGTTTGAAAGTAAAAGAATGGAAAAAGTCACAAAATTCTAACCAAAAGAAAGCTATTGTAGATATTACTTTCAGATAAAAGGGACTTCCAGGTTAAAAGCATTACTAGAGATAAAAAAGGATATTTAATGATAAAAAAGTTCAATTCACCAAAAAGAAAAAGCAATTCTAAATTTGTATGCACCTAAGACCATAGCCTCAAAATAAATGAAACAAAAATTGATAAAACTAATGGGTAATAGGCAAATCCACAGTCATACTGGTAGTTTTTACATACCTCTCTTGGTATCAGTAGAAATATAGAATATTTGAAGAAAGAAAATAACAAACTTGACCTAATTAACATTGTAGGACACAGCACCTGTGCACTATAGAGTACACATTCTTTTCAAGCATACATAAAACAGTTACAAATTCTGACCATATTCAATGCCATAACGCACATCAAAGGATTAAAATTATATAGAAAACATTGTTACCATTGTGGAATTAAGCCAAATACCAATAATAAAGAACGTGGCATTAGGATTGGAGGAAGACTCATTAACAACCTGCGATATGCAGTTGACACAGCCTTGCTTGCTGAAAACGAAGAGGACTTGAAGCACTTACTGAAGAAGATCAAAGACTACAGCCTTCAGTATGGATTACACCTAAACATAAAGAAAACAAAAGTCTTCACATCTGGATTAATAAGCAGCAACATGATAAATGAAGAAAAGATTGAAGTTGTCAAAGATTTCATTTTACTTGAATCCACAATTAACGCCCATGGAAGCAGCAGTCAAGAAATCAGTCACGTATGCATTGGGCAAATCTCTGGAAGAGTTCTTTTTCAAATGTTGAAAACTAAAGATGTCACTTTGAGGACTAAGGTCTGCCTGACCCAAGCCATGGTATTTTTGATCGCCTCATGCATGGGAAAGCTGGATAGTGAATGAGGAAGACCAAAGAAGAATTGATGCCTTCAAATTCTGGACCCCTTAGCATGGACTGCCCGAAGAATGAACAAATCTATCTTGGAAGAAGTACAGCCAGACTGCTTCTTAGACGTGAGGAGGGTGTGACTCCCTCTCACATACTTTTGACATATTATCAGGAGAGGGACCAGTCCCTGGTGAAGGACATCATGCTTGGTAAACTAGAAGGTCAGCAAAAAAGAAGACGACCCTCAACAAGTTGGATTGACACAGTGGCTGCAACAGTGGGCTCAAACATAGCAATAGTTGTTAGGATGATGCAAGATTGGGCAGTGTTTCATTCTGTTGTACATAGGTTCACTATGAGTCGGAACCAGCTTGATGGCACCTAACAACAACAACAAGCACTCCCATAGTGTCCGTTTTTTTCCTAACTAACAAATAATCATTTTGTTGCATTCTAACTGTATACTGTGCTGTATGCTTATGCACTTAAAGAATATTCTTTCTTTTAATATAAAAATAATATATATTTGTTTAGAGGTTAGTGAATTAGAACTTGGGCTCTGGAGTTAGACTGCCTGGGTTTAGTTCCAGCTCTACTATTGACTAGCTGTGTGAACTTGGACAAGTTAGATAGCTGTTTTAAATCTCAATATCTTGATCTCTAAATAGTTTGTTATAAAGTTTAGATGAGATGATACATATACAGTGTGTATTATTAAAATACAGAAGAGCACAAAGAAGAAAACAAAAACAAAATTCACTGACTCTGCAGTAGCCACTGCGGTTAATTCCCGCCTGTGAATACGGTCAGTCTCACTTAAAAAGAGGGGCGGCTGAGACCGTATTGTTTTATAATCTAAGTTTGGACTTAATATTTTACAAACATGTTTTCGGAGGTATCATGATTTATTTAACCAGTTCTCTATTAAGGTTGTTTTTAGTTTTGTCATTATTATCTGCAATGCTGCTATGAATATCTTTGTGCATTTTTTTTTATTGTACTTTAGATGGAGGTTTACAGAACAAATAGTTTCTCATTAAACAGTCAATACACATACTGTTTTATGACATTGATGATTAACAACCCCACGACATGTCAGCAGTCTCCCTTCTAGACCTCAGAGGACTTTTTTTTTGGTGAAAATATGCATAGCCACATTTACACCATTTCAAAAGTTTCTACATGTACAATTCAGTGACATCGATTATACTCTTCCAGTTGTGCTGCTATTCTCACTATCCTTTTCCAAATTATTCCATCACCATTACCTTCAACTTACTGCCTACTAGGCTTCCCATCAGACCTATTGAGTTGCTCTTGTCAATTTGATCTCACATAGATAATTCTTTTTTTTTTTTTGTACCTTACATGAAGGTT